AACATCACACATACTACGGAAAGTGCTACAGTGCGAAGCTTGAAGCCTGATTGGTGAGGTGCATCACTGGTTCAAGAAAAGGAATACCAGGAAATAAACCTGTGACAAGAGATGATAATAATTATAAGTGATCAAATACAAAATTACTGGCTAAAAGCATTCCCAGTTACGCACAGTTATATTGTAGAAGCTTTCAACAAAATAATAGAAAAACCTCAACAAATGCCTGAATGGCTGACTACAGGAATAACATACCTACATCCTAAATCGAAAAACACTATGGACCCAAAAAACTACCGACCGATTACTTGTTTATCGACTATGTATAAGATGCTGACAGGAATTACTGCCAGAAGAATTTCGTTATATTTGGAGGAGCACAACCTATTGCCAGAAGAACAAAAAGGATGTCATCCAGGAAGAAAAGGATGCAAGGACCAGCTGGTGATATCAAAAGCAATACTTGAGGACTGCAGGAGGAGGAAAAAGAACCTAATCATGGCTTGGATTGACTATCAAAAGGCATATGATAGTGTGTCCCACAGCTGGATAAAAAAGTTAATGGAACTAGTAGGAGTGAATGATAGCATAGTGAAATTTTGCAAACACTCCATGGAAAAATGGAACACAAAGCTTCAGATGAGAACAAACCAGGAACTTATGCAATCACAACCCATTAAAATAAACAGAAGAATATTTCAGGGTGAATCATTATCACCACTACTTTTTTGCGTAGCGCTTATTCCGCTAACTCATGAATTAAATAGATCTGGATGTGGGTACCAGGTGCATGAATCTGAAAGGAAAATAGGTCACTTGTTGTATATGGATGACTTGAAACTGTTAGGAAAAAGTGAGGAAGAATTGAGGGACGAGATTAAAATTGTAAAAACATTCAGTAGTGATATAAAAATGGAGTTTGGATTAGAAAAATGTGCCAGGATTTCGATAAAAAAGGTAAGGTTAAAAGAAAAGAGCACGTAGAAAACACAGGGGAGAATGAAATTAAAGAACTAGAAACAAATGGAGCATATAAGTACTTGGGAATAGAAGAGAACCACCAGATGGAACACAAGAAAGAGAAAGAAAGGTTGAAGAAGGAGTATGTAAGAAGATTAAGATTGATTTTGAACACAGAGCTGAATGCAGAAAAAAATTCAGGCAATTGGATCATTGGCAGTACCAGTACTGAGATACAGTTTTGGAATTAGTAACTGGCACAAAGAGGAAATACAAAAATTGGACAGGAAAACAAGAAAAATGTTAACTACCTACGGACAGCATCACCCAAGAGCAGATATAGACCGTCTGTATGTTCCTAGAAAAGAGGGAGGACGAGGCCTGATACAGATAGAGGCGGCTTACGTGGCAGAAACCACAAACCTAGCAGAATATATAGAAGGAACAGAAGATCAACTGATGAAAATTGTTAGGACACACTAACGCAACACAAGTTCTTCGCCGAACACAGCCTGCAAGTACATGAAATTTTTACAAAAAAAGGCAATAGCTCAGAACACAAAAGAAAAATGGGAAAAGAAAAGAATGCACGGACAATACCCACGCAGCTTAGATGACACTCTAGTGGATAAGGAACAGACCTATCGATGGTTGAAATTTGGAGGCTTTAAAGGGGAAACAGAAAGCGTAATCGTTAGCAGCTCAGGACCAAGCAATCAGTACAAAGAGAAAAATATTGAAAGAAGAGATCGGAAGTAAATGTCGACTGTGTAAAGAATACGAAGAAACTATAGACCATTTAACATCAGGATGTCCCGTTTTGGCGAAGAACGAATATATAGTAAGGCATGATAAAGTTTGCATGCATTTACATTACTCAATATGTAAAGAATTTGGAACTGAAGTACCAGACAACTGGTACTCACACATGCCTAAGGCAGTATGTGAACATGAGGATATAATGGTTTTATGGAACCAAGGCATTCAAACAGACAGAGAGGTTCTGGCAAACAGGCCAGACATAATAATTAAAAACAAGCAAAAGAAAACTTGCATACTTATAGATGTATCAGTACCATCGGACAGGAATGTAGTACAAAAAGAAGCAGAGAAGAAATTAAAATATAAAAATTTAAGCATCGAAATTCAGCGAATGTGGAACATGAAATGTTTTGTGATACCAGTAATTATTGGAGCCATGGGTACAGTCACGAGAGGGTTGAGAAAATATTTGGAACTAATTCCTGGTAAGCACTCCATAGATTCACTACAAAAAACAGCTATTCTAGGAACATCCACATACTACGGAAAGTGCTACAGTGCGAAGCTTGAAGCCTGTGTGGTGAGGTGCATCACTGATTCAAGAAAAAGGAATACCAGGAAATAAACCTGTGACATGAGATGATGATGATGATGATAATAATAATAATAATAATAATAATAATAATAATAATAGGCTTAACAGTAGTACTGCTGCTATTAGGATCTGAAACATGGACCTGAAAAAGTGTACATACTTGATGTTGCAAAAAAGATCCAAGACTGACTGTTGTTTCTTGGATGCCTGTGCTGATTGCTTTCAAAAACTTTTTGGACAGTAAAGAAATACATTTAAGTAGGCGGAGATTAATTTGTACAGAAATAAACATTTGAAGTGTTCTGGAGGACTACAGACCGCCTCTGTTATCTTGTGGTCAGAGTTCCTGCCTATAGATCCAGAGGTCCCGGGTTCGATTCCCGACGCTACATTTTCTGAGAAGTAGTGGGTCTGGAATGTGGTCAACTCAGCCTCGCGACGATAATTGAGGAGCTATTTAAAAAAATAGCGGCTCCGGTCTAGAAAACCGAGATTAACGGCCGTGGGGATTCGTTGCTCTGACCACGCGACACCCTCTATCAGCAAAAGTTGGCACTAACTTCGCCGACAAGCGGCGGTCGCTCAGTCGGTATAGTTCTCTTTGCGGACTACAAACCACGGAGTTTGTTGTTCTTTTTTGTTTGTTTATTTCCTTGTGTTATTTATTTTTAACACATAATGTGAACACCAGGATGCACATTTTATTGCCACACTTGTACAAGTAATGAAAATACAGGGAGTTTAATTTTCCAGATATTTGTTAGTCATCCGTTAGTGAGATATGTAGAATCCCACAATACTGAAAGGATATAACTAGGTTTTGATTATATTGTATGGGGTGTATTGCAAGTTGATGGTAGCACCGCGGGGTTGCGCCACTTGCCGGTCTACCATGTGAAGTATAAACGGAGACCGCGTTAACAGAGGGCACTGCGGGGAACGCTGCGATTTTGCACAATAAAACGGAAAATGCATGTAGTGTGGAGTTTCAAAGGAATTAACATTAATCGTGATATGAGGAAGTTCTAGTTGTCAACACTAGTTTTCTAAATGACCAGCAGCTCACGTAATGCACAAAAATAAAGGACTGACGCTTACGCCGACACAAATAGGTTAGGAATTAAATAAGATATAATTTGCTCGATTTGAGGTTCTGTCACGTAGTATGGAGAAGCCTGACGCTTTTCAAGCTCGAAGAGTATGTAACGCAAGAACCAATTCTATATGCCACCTACTTCCTGTTGTGCGTGATGTGCTCTTAGACCTGTAGAGACGAAGTTCATGTGTTCCAAATAATCGTAGAGATTTTCATTTTAGAATTGAACGTCTTTACAACCCAGAAGGCTGCACTCTTCAGGCTATAATGTACTGACTTTCGACATCACTGCTTCTGAAATACGTGCCAAGTGTGCTGACATTCAACATAGCACAGGGCATAGCTGTGGCTTTACTAACGCAAAAGACGGATGGAGAGATACAGGTTACAGCTGGAGATGCATGTCACAGTGAGGAAGCTAAGGGACTGTAACATTAGAGCGTCATGAAGCTTGGAAGACGATGATTCGACCGATGATATGCTTCGATACATGTTGTTCGTGGAGACAGCAATGGCGAAGAAGGCTGCGTTGATGGGGAGGATTCTGAGGAGGAAGACGAGGGACAGGATTCTGATTCATTGTATGACATCTGAGGTTCTTACTCTGGGTTATGACATCGTGTAGTCTGGTACATGAGCAGAAACGTGTCGGAGTAACTTGCTGCCTCCATGTTCTACGCTGTGGGACCAACGGTTGTGAAACCCCTAGCTTTGGGTCTCTATTTTGGATGCATTAGTCTGCTTAGAGCCCTGTACTTCCCGCCTCTTGCAGCCTTACGGCACGTACATTCCTAACAGAAACATCGACCCAGAGTTCATTTGCTCCGTATTGTATTACTGTAGGCATACTTCGTTTATGGTCCGGGATGTAGAGAAGAGTGGGACATGCGCACGGCGTCTTGGCGCCCACCACTCTACTCTCCGCAAACCCCTTCAGAAATAGCTCGAATTTCGCAGTGATTACAATAGTGACAATAATGCTAGACTAGAAGGGTTGCTGTAATTGATGGTTTTACTTTGCACTGCGAAATTGTTATCTCCATTTTGTTTCCTGACAGCAGTGAAGGTCAAGAAAAACAATGAGTCAGAAATATAGGGCGGTGAGAAATGAAGAAGAGGGAAGTAGAGAAGTGCTGATTTGCCAAAGGGCAAAGAAACTGTAAAACTGTATCATCTCATGGCGGTGACTATGAAGTTTAGAATCTATTTTACAGTGCAGTCTACTACAAATTTGCCGAAGGTTGAGAGGATCGTACTGCGTTCATTTTCAGTGCGGAAGGCAACAAACAACGTGGACGCAATCTTGGAAGACTGCACGACATCATATACCACAAGATAATATTCTTGGTAAAAGCAGTGGTGGAAGTGCAATCTCCCTTCATTTGGTCAAGTATTTTCCGGAGTTTCTCTTTTGGCCGCGCTGGTACAGGGCCTGACGTCTCGTAAGACAGTAATCGTATGATACACGACATGTGCAACCCAAACCCTGGACGTGATCAGGTAAAGTAACTGAGCTTCTGCGAAATACCTGAGACCACCATGTCCAGGTACTTCATGCCGTGGACTGCTTCGTATGTAAGCTTCCCTCTGTCCTCTTTCAGCGTTTGATCAATCTCATCTTGGAGCCGAGACTGAATATCTGGATGCATGGCCAGCAGATGTGAGGCAAAGTACAGGAGTGTGGCGGCTGTATCAAAGCCGGCCAGAAGAAACTGAACTACTTGGGCTGTTATGTCATCGTCTTCCCATTCTGTTGAAAGGACACAGGACAACAAACAATTTTACACCGTCACTCAAATTGCCACACTATCACATAAAGCTGATCCAACCAACGGAATTCTATTACGAAAAGCACAAAAAAAAAAAAGAGTTCATCACTGAAAATATACTAATAGCATTTTATGCTTTTTGCAGCTCATTAAGTTTACCTACTTTTAACTTTTAGAACAGTTCCCAAAAATAAATGTTATTAAATCCTAACTTATGTACAATTACAAATAACCAAATATCAGTTTGTCTCCCTCGTAAAACTACTATTAACCAAACATCATTTCGTCTTCCCCATTTTTTCTTTACTATTTTCCTTGGCACTACAGCCCCTGTGGCCCTAGGCCTACCTCCATGAACTTCTCCGTTCAGTTTGGTTTTTCTCAATCTTACACATTCGGTAGGACTCCTTGGGCGGGTGATCAGCTCGTCGCAAGGCCTCTACCTGTAGACAAACACAGAAAAATGCACACACACGAACTAAACATCCATGCCCTGAGTGGGATTCGAACCCACGATCCCGGTTTATAAGCGAGCGAAGACAGTACATGCCTTAGACCGTTCGGCTACCGTGACCGGCGTTTCTTCCCCATACAATTATAATTAAACAAACATCAGTCCCTCTGCCCCATACAAACACAACAGCCAAACATCAGTCTGTCTGCCACATACAGCTGTAGTCAACAAAACATCAGTCCCTGTGTCCCATAGAAATATAAATCGGTCTGTCTGCTCCGTACTACAAGTATAATTAACCAAACATCATTCCGTCTGTCTTATAGAACTATATTAACCAAACATCAGTCCCTCTGTCTCTCCCCCACCCGCCCCTATTTCTCACAAAATGGACTTTACTCTTTTACAAATATATTATAGACCAGCCATAATCACCAGTCTCGCTGCTTTTCAACGTATTCTCCCTTTACACTAACATAAGAGGGAGAAAAACAACTGGAGAATGTGAGATGTTTTAAATATTTGGGTAGCTTGTTAACAGATGATGGAAGGTGTACTAGTGAAATTAAATCCAGGATTGCCATGGCAAAAGCTGCATTTAGCAAGAAGAAGAATCTTTTTACCAGCAAATTGGACTTAAATTTGAGGAAGAAACTAGTGAAATGCTACATTTGGAGCATAGCTCTGTATGGGGCTGAAACATGGACACTTAGGGCAGTAGATCAGAAACATCTGGAAAGTTTCGAAATGTGGTGTTGGAGAAGAATGGAGAAGATCAGTTGGACCGATTATGTGAGAAATGAAGAAGTGTTAATTAGAGTCAGTGAGCAGAGGAATATCCTACACGAAATAAGAAAACGGAAGGCTACTTGGATTGGTCATGTTTTACGCAGAAACTGCCTTCTAAAAGAAGTTATCGAAGGAAAGATAGATGGGCAGATAGAAGTGACAAGAAGACGAGGAAGAAGACTTAAGAAGATGCTGGATGACCTTGGGGACAGAAGAGGATATTTTCATTCGAAGGAGAAAGCTCTAGATCGCATTAAGTGGAGGAATTGTTTTGTAAGAGACTGTGGACCTGTCATCTTGACAGATTACTGATGATGATGATGATGATGAAGAGGGCGAGTTAGTAAATAGATCACAAATGGATATAGTATAACGTAACACATGTGACTTTCGAACCTGAAAAAGAATATTTATTTCTCGACATATCCTGCACTGACGATACATTTTTCCCATCGCTTTACCAGTGCATAAAAACCCGCACCTTCGTTTCAAGCTGTTTGTCATTAACGAAACCTTTTACATCAAGATGATGTTTTAGCGGAGCAAACAGATAGAAGACACTAGGGGCCAACTCCGGGCTGTAATTCAGGATGTTCTAAAGGTTCCCATTGCAGTTCTTGAATTTATTTTTTCTCGAACTTTCAATCCTCTGGGCGCACACTGTGCGCATACTTTCCGATATTTCAAACGATCATCTCGTAGCATGTTTGGCTATTGAAGACGCCGTTCGGATTGGTAATTGCGTTTATTAACCACTTAGTTACTCTTTATCTCGCAATTACACTTTAATAAAGGGCTATCGCTTAATTACACACTTTCCAGTTCATCGTTGCGCACGCACTAGGATTCTCTGTCTCTACTAGTCGACTCCTAGCAACGGATCCCAGCTCAGAAACTAGCACCTAGATTACTCCAGATATTACACCTAAGATCTTCCAGTTACACTTCCAGTATCACTGCAGAGTCGCGCACATAAGGTCTTCTAAATCACACTTGATATCCTCAAAGGGTGACCTTCTGACTTCCTGGTTTCAATTTCCTGCTCTCACCGCTCTCAAATACTCCCGAATACTGACAAATACTCCCAAATTCTTTTCAATACTAACCACTCAGAAAGAATTCTATATTGTTGGAAAGTGTATACCGAGCGTTGCGAAGAAACGATTGCGGCACGGATTCCATAGAAAGCCAGTTACGTGATAGCTACCAATGTTGCGTGACGTCACAGCGTAGCGTGGAGGGGTGCTTACCCTGCTTTTCGTAACAAGGGGCTGGTTGGTTGTATGTGACGTCACTCGCGGAAATGCAGAGGTCTCGTGACCTCTACTCACTGTTGCACAATCCAAGCAGTCACAGAGCTGCCGGCTAGCAACACGCCGATACCATCTGCAACTCTCTCACTGCGCGTGTGCCCCGAGGCCTCTGTGGCTGAACAGTTCCTGAATAGAGCAAATACGCCACGTTATATTGTGCTGTATGCTAAACCATGGGAACATCCTAGTGCAGTTGCTACACTGTCTGTCGTTATCCTCCTGTCCGCTGGAATCAATTCTTCCACCCGTAACAAAGCTGCTTCTGACGAAATCTCAAACGGTCGACCTGGTCAGGAAATATCTGTGAATTTCGAACGTCCTTGAGAGACATTTTCCTGCCAGTTGTGAATCACTTTACACGACAAACACTTCCCACTGCAAGCAAGGAAATTTTTCTTTATGAATATTCTTCTCATTGTGTCCTTTGTCTACAAAACACACAACATGATTTCTTCTCTTCGGTAGTGTACGCCTGAAGCAGGTCGCCATTTTGACTGGTAAAATCAGCCTCTGAATACCTGCATGCGCGTCTCCTACCGAGACTGTCATGAAGCTGGACTCTGCTGCTACCTAGTGATACACATAGAACACCAATTACCTCCTTTACAGCTGGTAGCGTAGTTGGTTGAGGCAGTATGCTACAAGCTGGAAGGTCGAGGGATCGAATCCCGATAAGGTCACTGAATTTTTTAATTTACCTAATTCTTCCAGCCGCACTATGTCTCTGGGGTCGACTCAGCCTCTAACAAAACTGAGTACCAGGAATATTCTTGGAAGGTTCTTGGGGGTAAAACGCGGCCGACGCATGGGCTGAAAAACCTTACCACCATCTATGAGCCGACTGTCTAAAAGATGTGGGAACCTCAACATCTCACAACCTTATGGGCCTCCAAGTCCTGTTACAGGGATATCTTTACTTACTTACTTTTACTTACAGCTGTTTTACTTAATTTGTGACCCATTATTTTCTGACTGTCCCTCGCACTTTTCATCGTCCTTGCAATTTACTGATGCAAACAGCACAAGAGGCTTTACCCGAACTGCGTTGCAAACTCAGGACACCTTGTTTGAGCTTATCGTTAGTTTGAAATTTCTACTCTTCTAGGTGCATTCGTCCAAATAAAAGGCACTAAGGTCTAAGTCCGGGCCCTGGGGCGCTTACTTCGTGATTTTCCTGCCCACTATTTCCAATGGCACCTTCGTCAAATTTCCGGTATTTGACAGTAGATGCTCTTTGACAGTTTTCTTAAGGCTTTTCTTCCGAATCGCTTGGTGTAAATCACGGGGACGCAAGTTACTATAACACATTGCATACACTGTTAGACTAGGTGCAACAAGAATGACTCATTCTTAATCCCAAACACAACTGACATGATTATGCCAGTAGGCAGCTGGGTCTTGGGTGGTGGAAGTTCCATGTTACGTCATTCCATGCCGGACTGCTTTGACTATAGGGTGAATTGAGGGTTGCTTTCAATCTCTGTCTCAGGTCACTATTCGCTCTATGAATGTGTTTCTCTCCCACACAAGCCGGCGCAGATGAAAGACAGACACAGCAATATGCTACTTCTTCTGACCGAATTAATATATCTTCAGGACCCACTGGAATATAGTTTCATTAGCAGTACTCTTCATGGATGTTTGTTTGAACACTCCCAAAGCATTTGGATGAAATATTACTGTGCTATTCGCCTATTAATCAAAATCAACTTTTCAGTGTTGCTAATATTCATGTTTCGTACTGCTTTTGGCAGCATGCTGCACCCGTATGTTAGAGAAATTTTATGGTCTCCAGAATAACCTTTTCACCCATCATAAACACATGCATGCGACGGGCTCACTTCTCCATATTTTGCACTTAACCTACGAGGTACGTAGTGTTGAGCCCATTTAATTAGTTATTAAGTGTAATTTTTGTAAGATTGTGTGCTTAGGTTGAAATGTTAGACGGCTGGCCGGAAGGCAAGGAGACAGCCGCGGCTGACTCTTAGCATTCCTTGGCAGTCGATCGAATTGTCTTTAGAAAAGACTGTTTAAGCATCAGTGGAGAGACCCGGTCAGGTTTCGCTTCGCGCGACAAGACATGTCCGGCAAGATGCCGACCTCAGGGATTTCGCACGCGCAGCTTTCACAACTTGGGAAAAAGTTGAATCTTGGAATTGGGAAAACAGGCCGTTTCAGGCACTCTGTTTCTAGCAGTTGCCAGAAAAGAATGAGTAAAGCAAGGTGTGCCTGTGGAAAACCTTGGGATAGCGCCAGTGTTTTTCATGTGCATCGTGTTTAGCGCGAGTGAGTACTTGCCCGTCGGGTCACTGATGGCTTATTAGAACTTCTGGTTTAAATTATATTTGGTGGGTTAATGTGTTTTTAGAATTTAGAGGTGTGTAAGTGTTTTGATTTGATTATATATTCCATTTTTGTTGTT